CTTTTTTCAGTTTCCTACGTTACCATGATACCTTGCACCTAACAATGCGCGAAGTAAAACAGTGCGCGAAGTACCTTACTTCGCGCATTGTTATGTAAAATATATGAGATATTTATATTTCAACTTCACGGTTCTCAATCGAGCAAACATCCACGAAATCATTTATTTCTGAATGTTTAACAATAACTTTGTTTTATCTCTTGGAGCGCACGAAAGGAAATTCCTATTATGATCGTGGAACATCGTGCGTACCTAGGGAGGATAGGGAAAGGCCTTTTAAGCCAGTTCAAGATTATTTTTTTATATCAAGCTGAGCATATTTTTACTTTGAACTATCTTTTTTGGCGTTTGTAGAAAAAATTTTGTTTGCAACTCGAGCGCGAAATACTTTGGTCATCTCGACTATTTTTTTAACTCGGCTACGCCTCGTCAAAAAAATCAGATCTCGATCACCAAAGTAGCATTTCGCGCTCTAGATACAAAAATAACTATTTTCAGCTTTATTCAATGCTCTGCTTGCATATGCTATAGGTCTATCATCAATATTTGAAAGAACTGCACCTACACTATGACCAGATGCATCAGTTTTCAAAATAAACGTGTTATCCGGAGAAAAATTAGGATATTGCAATACAGGAGGATTGATTAACGCTGTTTTTAATGTATCAAATGCCAGTTGGCATTCAGATGTCCAATTGAATTCAACATTTTTCCTTGACAAATAATTTAGTGGCGTTGCAATTTCCGCAAAGTTTTCAATATATTTCCTGTAGTAGTTAGCAAATGCAACGAATCTTCTCGTTTCATCTGCACTTTTTGGTACAGGATAGTTTTGAACAACTTCAATCTTTTCGGGATCAGGTAAAACGCCTTCAGCAGATACTACGTGTCCTAAGTATAAAAGCTCTTTTTTCAAAAATTTACATTTATTTGGATTCAATTTTAGATTTACTTCTCTTAGTCGCTGTAAAACTTTTATCAAATTCTTATTATGTTCTGTTAAATTTTTACCAAAAACAATAAGATCATCCAAATAAACAAAACAGCTTTTATAATTAAGTCCCGACATTGCAATTGTCATTGCTCTAGAAAATGCATTTGGGCTGATTTTCGACCCCATTGGAAGCCGCGTCATTTGATACTGTCCTTTACTACCCACTGTAAATGCTGTACATGGCCTACTGATGGATGCATCTAATTCTACTTGATAATATCCTTGCGACAAATCTAAGTGTGAGAAATAAGTAGCGCCAGACAAGGAATCTAGAATATCTGTAATACAAGGCAAAGGCCACTTTTCATCCTTCAGCTGAGTATTACAACCCCTGTAATCAATTACTAATCTGAATTGCTTATTACCATTGTTATCAACTTTTTTTGGGACTAATAAAATAGGAGATGACCATTCAGATTTAGCTTCCTCAATTATACCGTCTTGCAACATCTTATTGATTAGCTTATCTATTTCTTGTTTTTGTGAAAATGGTAACCTATAAGGTTTTTTATACACGGGGGATGCATTTGGCTTTAAATAAATTTTTTGTTTATATATGTTAGTTGTTGTTAATGGATCAGTGTCTAAAAGAAAAACGTCAGAGTATTTTGCACATATTTTTTGCAAAGCGAGGTTTTCATTTTCTTTTAACTCCTTTAAATTCAATAATCCTATCAATTTTTCTATTCTGCTAACTGATTTATTATCGTTTGGTCCAAAGTTACAAACTTCGTAATTTTTGAGAAAATCGATTTTTGGTTCAAAATTTTTTAAGGTGACGTCCCGTTCTTGCACATTCAGAAATCTAATCGGTATTTCATTTGCCTCAGGAGTAACTATTGACCCCGCAATAAAAATACCGTCTCCTATTTCATCCGCGAGAACCACATAATCAGTGTTATGGTCGACATGAAAATATTTTATTATTTCTGTTCGTTTTGGAATTAAAGTAAATATCTCTTGGTTAGCATGCATAGGGACAGTTATTCTATTCTCACCATAATAAAATGAAAACATGAATTTTTCGAAGTCTATTGTTGCATTATATTTATGAAAGAAATCAAACCCAATAACACCGTGGAAATTATTTTCAAACTCCTTTATCATCAAAAATGTATGACACATATTTACACTACTATTTACTGTGAATTGAATGTTTGCTGAGCCTTGCGAATTTATTGACCCAGATATGCCATTTATTTTAATCGTTTCTGAATAATCGATGTTTTGATGTTTATTCACATGTTTTTCGAAAATTACACTAACAGTCGCACCTGTATCTAATAAAAACTTAAGATTTTTTCCTTCATAATTTACTGTGATAAAATTCAAACCATTTAATTTTATCAATTGTGGATTACTATGGTTAGTCTCGAAAAAACAACTGACCTGGGTTGGAATTTGAGTTATTTCTGCTCGTACTGGAATTCATGTTCTGATTTCTTGAATTATCATTTTGCATGAAGTACCCGCGTTGGCCATTATTATGACTCACTCGGTTACCTCTCCGGTTATTGTGAAATCTTGCATTAGGAGAGTTCCTATGTGAATTTGTATTTTGTGGATTCTGTCTATAATTACTGGAATTATTAAAAGAATTACTATTATTCCTATCAAAATTCCGAAACGAACCTCTTGAATAACTTCTAAAATTTCCCCTATTTGAACCCCTATATGCAAAACTATTATTTGTCCTCAACCGAAACATTTTTCTAGGTGCCCCTAACGATATTTCCTCATCTTCTGCAGCCCTTATTGCATCATTCAAACTCTGATAGTTTCGTGCTTTTATAAGTGTTCTCAAATTTTGATTATTAAGCCCATTCGCAAAGGTATTAATTGCGATCTTTTCATTAACAGGCCGTAAAACATTTGCATTTTGCTCATTGCCATCGGCTTGTGTTAATGTAAGATCAACCATCCATTCCTCAAGCGATCTTCCGAACTCATCAATCGACCTAAAATTTTGCTTTTCGTTATTCAGCTTTGTGGATAGTGCCGCAGCTGATTTTTTTGATATAAAAAAGCTCTTCAAATCATTAATTAAAAGTGTGTTAGATGTATACGATGATTTCAATCTGATCTTTGCATTTTCTGATAATCTAGTTTTTAATACATAAGTTGTCAATAAAGTTTTGCCATCACTATCCAATAAAGAGTCATATAAACCAATTGCATCTATCAATTGCTTAGTTACTGTTTCAGATCCATTCATTACTGGAATTAAACCTGCAGCAGTTCTCAAATCGAATTTTTCAGACATTTTTACTTCTTTTTCTGAGTCTGACGTATCGTGTTTGAAATCTACTGTGAGCTCTGAAGGATTTTCCTTTAGTTTATTTAACCTTTCAGTTAAAATGCCGTAGATAGCATCAAAATATTTTTCTATATCGACTACATACAATTTTATCCTATCTACTAATTTGGGTTCATGCAGCTCTCTATTAAATTTTTCCCTATTTTCAATAAATTCTAATTTCAGTCCATTCACTTCTTCTAACTTAAATTCTACTACCTTAATATTATTTCTTTTGTATATATTATCTTTCTTCAAATTTCTATGAATCACTCGGAGTTCTTCATGTAGGTATCTAATTTCATCTGCTTCCTTTGACATCCCATACAATTCCTCACCATCTTTCTCAATTTATGTAATATATCAATCCATATTCATTGATAGCCATCATTCCAATTTATCCAATAGTGTGACCAGACCATTATACTCCTAAAAAGAAAATTACACCTGCTCTCTGCTTCTGGAGACTTCTTTCCTAATCTTCCTTTCCATTGCCCTTTTGCATTGAACAAAAATCAACCATCCCAGGGCAAGTACCAACAATATCAGGACAATTATGGTTAGAATATCCTGGGTAGAACCGAAACTTGCGTGTTGTTTGGCTTCGTTTGTTTGTCCACCACTATTGCCCGCTTGTGCAATTACAATTTCTTCCTTGCTCTGTGTTTTCCCCATCGCATCTCTGTATGTTAGAATTCCATTGCTATAGTTCTTGAGGCAGGATCGCCATGTGATAACTTAGTAATAAGGAGAGTTGGGAGTTGTAATAATACGACCATTCACCATCAAGTTCAAAATCAATCTCTATCTATTTTTGATAAAATGATACCGATTGTCACAATAATTGTTTAGCTTAGTCAGTACATAATATCTTATAATAATTATACACAATAATGCGAACGAACTGTATGAACCACTGACCTATATAATTAATTAATATACAGTATCTTAAAACTATTATGGTATAACTCAAATGTCTAAATCTATTGAAGTTCTTTATATATATTATACTACAATTACTTCAAAAGATTGATAAAGATGCCTACAACGTAGGTGTCCCTACTGTTAAAAACTTAAAATGTCACGTCGATAATTTTCAGATCTCAAAATAGTCTAATATGTAATATCTTCTCAATATTGATTCTTCCTTCCTTCTCTCACAGAAAAAAATAGTGTATTATACATATACGGGAAAAATATTAGATTTTAGCTCACGGTTTTTTGTCTCCCAATATCTATCAAATATTGTCACTCTGTATATAAACAATATAAGATTTTATACAATGAAAGTCACAATAGCTCATCCGAGAGAAACTATGTGATATTTGAGCGACAAATAAGAACTCTGGTCAGTAGTACAAATTATCATATTTTTCGAAAAAAATCTATTTCTCGAAAATCTGGATCGAGGAATATGCTTGAGAATTATGAGAATATGCTTGAAAAAATCTCAAAAATATTTTGCAGAGGTTTGTTTGTCACCTTGTATAGCCAGGGGTTATCATATTATATTTCCATCAGCGGTCTATCTGTCATACACCCAATGGATCAATCTTCAGAATAAAGAAAACCGCATCCAAATAAGTGGAAATTTCACGAAAATATTCATGTTGACTTTAGAGCAAAAATGTGCTTGATGCAGTTCCATTGATCAGCAGTTTATAGTTATTCTGGGAATTAGGAACCAGCCGGAAAATAATGTCTGAATAGTGAGAGACTTAAATATTTTATTACAATACATAATGATAATTATATTACAAATTCTGTACAAATCATAGCTAAATATGCAATAGTATTAAATTTTTACTTAGTTTAAAATCATAGTGGTTTATATAAAAAAATTATGTATCTGAATCACGGACATTAATGAATCTATTGCTATCCATATCAAAGGTAGGATCATTCTCTATGGAATATTTGCCAAGTCTAGACATTATAAGCATAAACAATATGATGCCTAAAATGATCAGTGTTCCAAATATACAGTATCTTCTGCAAACAGACCTACTCCCTCTTCCACGTGGAGAAGCGCCAAAAGTTAACCTGGAAATATGCAAGAAAATTAGTAGATGTCAAGGCACTGTGAATAAGTATGATGCAATTCGACTTCAGGAAGGAAATTGAAAATAATGGAGGTTTTTGGCAACTTCACCATTCTGAAGACATCCTATATACTAGTACTAGAAAGTGCATAATTACTTTTCTAGAGCTGTGATGTTTTTGAATTCAGGAGAATTAGGAATTCAATATTAACTGCAAAACTTAGGAATATCTCTACAAGAATTAGTGCCCAGGTTTCTGCTCATTGTATATCTAGATTATAAATTAATTGATGTATTTCAGAAAATGCGCTCATTTTAACCAAGGACTTGTTTGCTCCCTTGCCTCATCTTTCCCTATTAGGTAGAGAAATAGTAATTCTAGGTAGGTGAATTCTTCTCATTGTATTATTATTTGTCTGTATGTACAAGGTTATTCATCTGATTCCACTATATCTGTTATTCTTCATGAGAACAAAAAAAAAATACAGAAGTTGAATGCCCCAATGAGACTTTTCTATTAGAAATATTACCAAGTGATCCCCAAAAGTATGACAATATATACAGGGTGTCCGGAAATTATGCGCAAAAAATCAAGGTGATTCTGCATGAGAAAATATGAACTTTATTTCATATATAAATGGGTCTGGAAATGCATAGTTCTCAAAATACAGTGTGTTAACCTTTGAAAAAGAAAGGGTTTTTCATAAATATCTCAAATATCCTTCCACTGATTATCTTGAAATTTGGCAATGATATCCTTTGTCATGAAAGGCTGATTAAGCCATAAGTGAATTGGAATCGTGAAATCCAGTGGCATCTCGGCATAATACCCAATATTATTGTCAATAAAATGTGCACCAGATTTTTTTGATTTTTATATCTTCATATCCTATTGATCACTAAAAATACAATATTTTGGTATCTTGAACTGTTTTGATGTTCTGCTTCCTTTCCATGGAAAAAAATAAATACCAATTTATTGTATACATTTGTGCTAAACACTGAATGTGAATGTCCATATACATAGAATAAGAATGAAGATTCATTATCTTCAAATATTTTATATTACATGTTTGACACACTTTGTATCATTGAAAACTATGCCTTCCTGGACCAAGAATACATAGTTCTTAATATACAGAGTGTAAAGTGTGTCAAACATGTATCATGAAATATTTGAAGAAAATGAGTCTTCATTCTTATTCTATGTCTATGGACATATCATATGCATTTAGTTTCACCCCAGTTTTTGAAGGATTATTTGGCACAAATTTATGCAATAAGTTGGTATTTATTTTTTCCATGGAAATTAAGCAAAATATCAAACAATTCGGGAGATCAAAATGTATTTTCAGTTGGTCAATAGGTTATGGAGATACAGAATTAAAAAAAAATCAGTGGCGCACATTTTATTGACAATAATATTCGGTAGGTTGCTCCCTAGGACGCCACTGGATTCCATAATTCCAATTGAATTAGGAGTATATCAGCCCCTCATGACAAAAAACAGCATTGCCAAATTTCAAGGAAATGGGTGGAAGGACATTCAAAATATTCATAAAAAAACAATTTTTTTTTTCAGAAGTTTAACACACTGTATGTTGAAAACTATGCTTTTCAGGACAAACATACATACAAAATTGATTTCTTATTTCATCATGCAGAATCACCCCCTGGATTTATTGTGCCTAATGTCTGGACATCCTGCATATATATATATATATATATATATATATTTCAAAATCTATGACTCTTTGTGATCTTTATTGGACCTTTTTGTTTTAATAGTTACATTGGTAGCACTGCAGAGGAAGATGAAAAATGGGAGTACATTCTTCTCTCTTGCTTATTATAGTAAGAGTAAAAAGCTCAATTGACCATATTTCAGTTGGAAAAAGTTAGAATATGAAATACTCTGTGATCCATTTGTAATGGTTTCCTCACTGAAATCTTGCAAAATGGTCAAAATAATAATTTTCAATTGTTCATAATTCCAAAACTATCAACTTCAACAATCCATCAAACTTGTTCAAAATTCAGAATAGAATCTAAGAATGCAATGATATAGAGGGTGTCCCATTAAAAAAAATAAACTAAGTCTGCACTTGAATCATTGAATTGATTAAATGAAGCCCTACAACTTATATGATAAGCATTTTTATTTGTGTAAAATAATGAATGTACCAGGGGGGGCAACAGACTTTTGGTCCTCATAGTATACTTACTTCCACCAGTTACCAAACAGTTCCAACAATGATTTTCTCTTATATTTGTCCTCATCATGGTCAAATGTAACTGATTTGATTTCTCTGATATCCTGGAATATCCTCCTACTTGATGAGTTCTGAAAATTGTCAGTTCTGTTGAATGCCCCATGATCTTCATTCACATTAACAACAGAATGTGCTGGACTAGGAGTCATTCTAGGTGATGGTGTGCTGTGATTTACCACAGGTTCAACTTCCCTATCTTCAGAAAGCTGAAAACCAAATCCAATATTTAAACTCTAAACTAAGGAAAATAGATAAAAATATTTACCAGTGGCAAACCTAGACCTGCTCTAGCCCAATTAACACCAGCTAGTTTCTCTCTAAGAACATCTGCAACCAGGCTTATCAGATTTGGAGGAGGAAATAAGGGATTCTTGCATGATGGACAAGTGTATCCTCTTGGAGCTGTTGTGGGAGGTAGCTGCCTTGAAAAATGATCCAAACAAGACCAGTGAAAAACATCTGAAATTGCCATAGGGGTAATACTTGTTTTCAAACTCATCACTACATGAATACATACGATAACATGATAATCTAATACTATCTTCAATGTTCAGGTCTTTACTGCATAATTCACAAATAGAATTGTAGTCACTGTCTTGTAACCACTGCAGATATGACTGGACAACACACTGCAATTTAATAATGTGTAGGCATTAAACTTGACCACTGGAGAGATGTTTGGTAGTTTTGGTACTTACAATGGGGTGATTTGTTACCATGCAGTTTTCACAGACACATACTCGATGTTCGAAACAAAATTGGTTAGTGACACGTCTTTTCGGGCATTTGCACAATCCCATTTTGACTGAGAAAGGGTATTCCTATTTGTGAATCGTTATGTTTTCCTAATTTTTGAATAAAATCTCAAACAAAACAAGGGCCACGTCTTGACTCCTTGTTTGACATTTTTGACAACAATTTTTCATTTATAATTTGACCGATTTGATTGACGTGAAATTGACAAGAATGACAAGATGAAAGGTATGTGATTTCTGTTCAGTGTTGCCAACTGCGTTCAACAAATAGTCCCGGAAGTAGGCATGAAATGTCCCATAGTCCCATATTTTTTTCGTTGGGACTCTGAATTTCTTTTTCTAACTTCCTTTTAGCGCACTTAAAGAAACTCCTATAATGTTCGTGGAACCATTGTTGATCTAAATGAAAACCTCTTGCCTACTAACTATCTAACTAGGTTGTCATCTAGAACGACAATGGTGGAACATAGTGCGTACCGTATATATAATTTCTATGAGAGAGGATAGTGAGATCGTGGTAGAGGTGTTGGATTTGTTTTTTAACTTTTGGAGGCTATAAATTATATGTTCAGAATCAGAAGATTCCCTCATAAGGTGTTATTTGTATAGGTATTTGTATATCCCTATTACCCTATCACCTCAACCAGTTGGCGCACGTAATTCACCTAATCATCTCCCATCAGTGTTCGTTTTTCATCGCTAGATGATGCTTAAATTATTTTGGACTTGAGAGTTACACATATAGTTGAAAAAAAAAACAATCTAAGCTAACTGAATGCCCCATTTCTGCCTCGTGAAACTCACAAGTACGAAGCTAATGGAAATACAACTTCTTATTTTTTTCAAAATCTTGTGAAAGTCGAGATCTCGAGTTGTGGAAGTCGTGAACTCGAGATCTGGAGAATCTTCCATATTTAGCACATAGTATGTAGATGCAGATGCACCCCCCCCCTTGAAAGTAATCCTAGCGGTGCTCATGATCACACAAGAAATCTCCTAGGGTCCATAGGGAAACCATGTATTGAAGTAGAACCACAGATTACGCCACGATTCATTTAGAAGGACTGCCATTAAAATACTGACATACTAATAATAGGTACCTACTATATTCCCAAGAGTTTCAACAAGCAACAAGCAGACATGATGAAAAGCTAGTTGATGGTTGTATGGTTCCCTTTTGACTCTACACTATGAACAATTAAGCATAGAATATACCTATCAAGTACACATCACGTTATCTCAAGTTTTGCAACTCGAGATCTCGACTTTCACATATCGAGTCTAGTCTTTACCAATTCGAGATTACGAGTTTTCGACTTTCGCAACTCGGGATCTCGAGTTCTCGACTTATTATGCAACTCGAAATTTTGAAAAGAATCAAAAAGGGATAAATTCCTAGAGGTGGCAACAATGGCAAAGCTGTTACAGTCAAAACCTGACGTCAAAACACAACTGTCGCTGTTTGAATAATTTCAAACTTCATAGTGCCTGTCAATTCTGTCATTAATCATTGAAAGACACTGACATTTCCTTCATTTCAAACTCGTCGGTTCCTTGTTGTCAATAACCAATATTTTGCATATTTTTGAAAAACATGTTGATTTTAGGTTTATTACGGTTATTATGAAAGATTTGATGTTAATTATCTCTTATGTTGAACAACTTATTAAAAATGGAATGTGATATGATTTTATTCTTTGAAGCTGCAATCCCCTGTCCACTATGATGTTGGTCAAGTTAATTTTCATTTTCATTACCATCAAGCAGCATGTTTTGCCTGCAAATATTATCATTTCAAATTGAATTTCAGTATGTTTGGAATTGAGGAAGTCTTCAGCAACTGTTTCAATTTAAAATGGAAAGCAGTATTGGATCCATGCTAAGCAAGAGCCAGAGACTTGTCTTAGGATGTTTGATTTTGATTTTGGTTGATGTTATCTGGGTGTCCTCCTCAGAGCTTACAAAGGTATGAACTATTATGACTATCACTATATCTGTTGAAAACAGTGATTTTATAGATTTCATATTTTCAGTTCATTTACAACAATGAAACATTTGAAAAGCCATTCTTTTGTACATATATCAAAACCTCAATGTTCACTTTGTACTTGCTGGGCTTCCTGTTTTGGCCCCAGTGGAAGGACAACTGCACAAGACCTTCAAACTACATGTACCTTGAAACAGAACAGGATGAGGAACATTACTTGACAGAATCAAGTTCTAGCCTCAGTAATCCTGTATATGTTCCAGTGAAAACACAGGAGAGAGAAAGCCTGGAGAGAAATTCTGGCACAGAAAGTGATGATTCTACAGTACGTTCAGTAAGGTTCAATAAAATGGCTGAAGTGAGGCATATGTCTGAAACTGAGGCAACTGAGGCCTTGCTTGCAAGGTTGTCATACCAGGCCAGTCTGAGAGCTGGTGAACTGGCAAAGAGAGCAGCCAGTAAATTGCCTATTCTTAGGATTGCAAAGATTGCTTTAATATTTTGCTTGTTGGTGAGTGATTTCCAAGGTGATTTCATTGAAATTCATATTCTCAAGAGAAATAATTGGTTAATTGAAGTAAATAATATAACATGTTACTGAGTTATTTTAACTTAATTTCCATCAATTTTTTTAAGTCAAAAATTCTATGATTTATCTACTCTTGAAATTATACTGTCAATGGATTTTCTTCAACATTGAATAAAACAATTCCAAGTATGAAATTAGGTGTCTTGAAATTATTCAGTTAATTTGTATTCCTCTCACCATTAGGATATTGTGATGTAGTAGATTGGGAGAGTTAATTTAGTCATTTCAGTTAATATCATGGACAAACAGTGGGGGGTAGTAAGTGAATTTTGCCAACTCATTATTAAAATTTCCAATTTTCCTCTTGGAAAAAAAATCAATGATAAGATGGATTAGATGGATTATTAAAAACATTGTCCTTTAACTTATTTAATTTTACACTGAAGAAGCATATGTATTCACTGATTTTTACAATACTTTCTCATCAGTAGGAAATTTAGAAATTCTGAATTTGAACTGGGAATACCTACTGAAATGCAAGAAATTTCATTTCCTATGGGCTCCCAGTCAGAAATTCAGAGTATGCAGTTGGAAATCCTGGGTTTTTACAGAGTATTTAATTTTCTGATTTGGAACCTGTAACTGGGATTTTCATTTTCCAAATTGGAACTTGATATTTCCAACTCAAAATTTGGAATTTAATTTTCTTCAAGTTTGCTCTGTTGGAAGTTCATAGTTTGAACTGGAAATAGTGGAAATGTAATTTCCTTTCATGTTTAAACTTGAAAATTTCAATTACCAAATCAATAATTTCTGTTTTTGAAGTTGGAAATTTCTAGTTTGTAGGAAAAACAAATATTTACCATCGCCAAAAATTTGGGGGTGAACCCCCTCTATTCCCCCCATGAGCCCGTCCCTGGTTAATATTTATGTTTTTGATGTTCATTAAACTTCAAGAAAGGTATTGCTCAATAGATTAGGTTAACTACAAGAATCTCTAGTTATTGAAGTTGTCCTGTATTGCATTTTTTATTTTTTTCTTGGAAAAAATGTTTTGCAAAAACCTTCATCAGAGATGCTCATATCAAAACTTCATTTTGACCTGTAAGTCACTTTATTATATTCACAATTAATTCACAATTATATTATATAGATTATCTTCATATGCAAGTTTATGTTCCAATCAGAAGTACAACTCTTATCACTGAAAATCAGCAAAGGACGACACATTTTATCTACAATAATCACAATATTAAATTGATTTTATAGATTGTGCCAACCAGGCATAATTTTGATTCTTTTATTCAAATCCAATAAGGGAGGCCCAATAGTCCAATAGAAAAGACCTGAACTAAGATGAAACATTAATTAATGTCCTGTATTCATTTTATTGCAGTGGTTTGTTGCTAATTACACTTACCAAGTAGCCCTGTCAGAGACAGAAGCTGGTATGGTGAATGTCTTATCCTCCACTTCAAGCCTGTTTACTCTTATACTTGCATCCCTGTTTCCATCTAATCCAGTTGATACATTTACTTTCTCCAAGCTGGTAGCCGTTATTCTCAGTATCACAGGAATGGTAAGATGTCTCAGATTTATCTCTGTTTGACAAATGAGCATTCTCAAAATTGTAATATTTTTTATACATAATTTTAAATATTATGGACAAAAAATAGTTCAGAAAAATGTTCTAATAGCCCCAGAGTATTTAAATACTTCAAGAATATCAAAATACACCTCAAATTCAAGTATTTTTTTATAGGAAAATAGAGAACCATCTAAGTCAAGACATGAAATGTGTAAACAACAAATTCACATGATTTCCTAGAAAAAAAGTATTGGAAAGCATCAGATGTTCTCAAATACCACTAAATATTTCTAGTATATTCAACTACTTGAAAAATAATTTGAAAACTTCTCAAATATTTAGTTATTCAAATAACCCTGAATCCGCTCAAAAATCTTGAAAACTCAATTCAAATACTTATTTATTTGTTTTCCAAAATCAAAAATATTCAGCACTCAAATCTCAATCCTCTTGAGTATTTTATAATTCAATGCTTTCTTGGTAATTTATCAATACATTTGAATTTTGACCAATGTTAATCAGAACAGATAGCAAAAATACAAATTTTCTAGTGTAGAATAGAAACATTGAATTGCAGTTGTCAAGATCATCATCTGATGTGATGACATTAATCTAGTGGAAAACATTCCTAACTCCTGGCTTTGATTGAAAGATTGACATTTTTTGCTGTAGTTATCATGTCTTTGCAATGTCAGATGATTACCTTGACGAGCTTGAATTCTAGAACATACAAGGTGTATCTAAACAACACCGAAAAAATTCAAGGGGAGTTTTCTTGTGACATTCAAGCAAATAAAGTTCATATAAACATGTGTTCTAACTTGCTCCGTTTTTGAGTTACAGGATGTTGAAGTTGGAAGTATTAATTGTTTATATTCATAACCCTTCTGTATAAGCTTTCATGGTGCCAAAATTCAGTATGGATGGAGACTGAGAAAGCTCCAAAATTTCAGAATGATTCTAATTTGGGTTATTGAGTAATCTCAATGGAAGTCTTGAAAACACCTACATTAAAATTTGGAATCAAATCTAATTTTTATTGTTTCCTCAAAAACTAAGCTAGATACAATAATCACACAGCAGATAAAAAAATTGTTATTCCAATAGTTCAATCTACTAAGAATATGAAACAGGTGGTGTACAATGACATTCACCATGAATATTGATAAATTTACCCACTTATTATTATAATCTAATTGCACTAGATTCTAGAAGAAGCTCCATATTACTATTAACAAAACCACAAAGTTTTATTGAAATTGATGAAAAAACAATTGAGAAATGAATAGAAAAAAGATTTTCCATGGAAATATTAATACCCTGTATCTCAAAAACGAAGCAAGTTAGGACACATGTTTAAATACACTTTTATTCCTAAAATATCACAAGGAATCACCCCTTGAATTTTTTCAGTGTTATTTAGATATACAGGGTTGGGCGAGAGTATGGAACCAGGTGAATATCTCGGTAACCGTTTGTTAGATTTTATTGAATATATGTACAGGGTGATTTCAAAACGTGGCGGATTTGAAAATTCAATTCCGGAATTATTATTAACTTCCCTATTTCAAATAGAACACCCTGTATTTTACTGAATTTTCAAATTCTCCCTCAAAAGCTGATTTCATCGATTCATCACACTTGGGGTCTAGCAAGAATGATTACTGAGATATAGGGTGTTCAAAATCGAGATTTTTCAACTTTTGGAATTTTTGTGTGTCGAAACTTCATTATCTGTCAAAACGGCTTTCATGTCCCTATTTCAACTGTTGATTTACTATCTATTGGTATTTAATGGGAACAGATACAGGGTGATCAGATTTCTGAATATTGAACCACCCTGTATTTGTTCCAATTAAATGTCGGTATAGATAGTAAATCAAAAGTTGACGTAGGGACATGTAAGCCGTTTTGACCAATAATGAATAGTTTCTACAATCCTAACGTTGAAAAATCTCGATTTTGAACCCCCTTTATCTCAGTAATCATTCTTGCTAGACCCCAAGTGTGATGAATCGATGAGATCAGCTCTTCAGGAAGAATCTGAAAATTCAATAAAATACAGGGTATTCTATTTAAAATGAGGAAGTTAATAATTCTGGAATAACTGAAAGAGTGGCAACATCGACGATAACATTTTCAAATCCACCACGTCTTGAAATCACCCTGTACATTTATTCAAAAAATCTAACAAACGGTTACCAAGATATTCACCTCGTTCCATACTTTTGCCCAACCCTGTATGTACATGTATGAGGAATTTTCAGGATTCATTGTGTACTTTTTTTTTAATTAATTTCAGATATTAGTTAGTTTTTCTGATATCAGCATTGAATCAAAAATTCCATTTGGAGCAGTATTATCCTTATTCAGTGCTTTCTTTTATGCCACTTATCTCGTATTTTTGAGAAGGAAAGTTGACCATGAGGACAAAATAGACATTCCATTATTCTTTGGTAAGCACTTTTATCTATCCACTAATTCTCAGTACACTTTGACATCATGAGTGCAAATATTGTCTATTTACACTGTTTTTATTTTTAGGTTTTGTAGGATTATTCAACTTAGTGTTACTGTGGCCGATGTTTTTCTTCTTGCACTTCAGCAAAGTAGAAGTTTTTGAATGGCCGACTAAAGAACAGTTGATGTTATTATTGTTGAATGGGTTATTGGGAACAGTCATTTCAGAAGCCCTCTGGTTATGGTTAGTTGATAAACTCTATTGAAATCTATTTGTGCTATCAGCATATTTCCTCATTTTCTTTTGAACCCATAACCAGTTTACAAATTGAGTGGAAATTTGAAATATATCATAGTTTGTCATCTCTCAAAGAAGATACATTTCTATTGAAACATTTCACATCTAAAAAGGTGCATTTCTCGTCTGGTTATACTGATAATTTATATCAGGGTGGTGAGTAATGCAATTCTCTTGTCAAAATTGTGAAATGAAATCCGTCCAAACCTCTTTCTATTGATGAATCATTGTTTACATTTGATGTACAATCAATATTAATAGTTGACCAGGGTCGATAATTTTTGAAACCGAAAAAAATTATAGTAGAATGAAACACATTGAAAAATGAAGAGAATATGACAAAAATGACAGAAAAAATAATAAATTATGGTCGATCTGAGGTCGGGAAGTGGAAGGGGTGAGCTTTTAAGGGTTAAAAACGGTTAATCCCGATTTCTGGTAAAACTACAAGTGCTATGGAAAAAAGTTAAATGGCAAAGTCGTACACATAACCCCAATCTTCATGTGAAAAATCAAAATAACTAAGTTTTTGGTGAAAATTCCTAAATTTTCATATCCCAAACACACTGACCTCAAAAAACTAACAATTTCGATAAAAAATCAATACTGAAGAACACACCAGCTCTGAAGGGAGGTCTGAGTAGCGCTCGACGAGTTCTTCAACCATTCTCCAGTATTCATTTTTTTATCGAAAATATTAGTTTTTAAGGTCAGCACCTTATGAGAGCTGATAAATGAAAAAGTTTCTGTTTGTCTCTAAAACAAAATGAGAATATTTTGAAGAACTTGTCCTGCGCTACTCAGAACTACCGTTAGAACTGTTCTGTTCTTTGTAATTAATTTTCTAGTCAATTTTTCATCGAACATGTTTGTTTTATGAAGTCGGCACTTTATGACAGCTGATATAAGAAAAAAATATCGATTAGTCAATAAAACACAATGATAATATTTTGAAGAACTCGTCGAGCGCTGATCAGAACTTCCATCAGAATTGATCAGTTCTTTGGAATCGGCTTGCTATGGAATATGTTAGTTTTTTGAGGTCGGCACCTTATGACAGCTGATACATGAATAAGTATCAATTTATCACTAAAACACAATGAGAATATTCTGAAGAACTGTTCTTTGAAATTAATTGTTTATCCAATATGGTAGGTTTTGAGGTCAGCACCTTATGACTGCTGATGAATGAAAAAGTATCGATCAGTCACTAAAACACAATAACAATATTTTGAAGAACTTGCCGAGCGCTACTCAGAACTCTCATTAGAACTATTCTGTCCTTTGAAATCATCACCTTATGACTGATTTTTTTTCAGATTTTATATCGCTAATGAATTTCCTCCTTTTTTCTCGATATCTTTTTCTTCAATATGGAAGAGAACGGAATAGTATTTCACCATGAAATGCCGCCTATAGAAACACCTCGAGAAACACATTTTCGTATTTTATTTCCTTGAATTATTCAATAACTTGCTTTGTTCACCAGAACTATAGATGAAATAGGTTTATAACTCCAGAACTCTTTATAATACAACAACAAAACTTTTCAGAACTCATTTTCTCGAAAAGAACGGCGCTGCGTTATTTTTTTCATTTACATCTACGTTTTGCTAAAACTAATCAAAATTTCAGTCAGGAACTCTAGAACACCATCAACTATACTCAGAACTCCAAAAAAATTGAGTTAATAAAAAACGGCGCCAATTTCTCATGAGTGTCTATTAAAGTTGAGGTGTATCGAATCTTCAACGTTTTGAAATCAGCATATTCAATTGGATATGTCAAAAAGCCAAATATGAAGGTGGATCAGTGACGTATTAGTCCCGAACAATAGCCTCGGATACCTTGCCATTCTGCAGTGTTGCAGTGTGATTGGTTAGTTCAATGATATGATAGGCATCTTGGGACTAATACGTCACACCAGTCGCACCAATGAATTGACATATCATTTCTAATGGCGCAGGAAGTATGTTTTTTGACATGAACATATTTTAATAATTTTTTGTATCCTAGTATGAATACAAAAATTCAAAATTGTATTTACTATTCTTGCCTTATAATGCCGTCTAAATTTTGATACACTCCAATTTGAACGTTCCTATAAAATATTTAAAAAATAAAAAGTATACAGTTATGTATAGAATTCTATGAGAAAGTTATGTTAACCGATTTTTCAAATTGTTTAGTTTATTATTCTAAATGAAAAACCTAGTAGGTGAGTATACTTTGAAATAATAGTTAATAATGTTTTCGTTCAATCCGGAAATGTGACAGCCGTTTGAGTACTCAAAAATCTGCATCTCAAATAACAATACAACTTCCCAGAATTATATATTTTTTAGAGTTACGGAATGGTATTGGTTATCTCACTAATTATACCATTCAGTGACTCTAATTGTGCCTACATCCCAAAGCCAGAAAATCAAATACTTTTTTCATTTTAGGGGTTGTTTCTTGACCTCTTCTCTCATGGCAACCGTCGCTATGAGCCTGACAATACCTATGACCATGTTAGCCGATGTCTTATTAAAAGAAGTGCCCTATCCCATACTTTTCTATACGGGTACCATACCAATGTTGATTGCCTTCTTAGCACTAACCGTTTTGTCCCACTACGATAATTGGGATCCCGTCTTCAATGTTCTGCATTGTTCCTGTTCCAAAGTATGTCGCCGAACTAGATTTATACGGTAAGAAATTCAGATTAAGATGATAAAACAGTTTGTTAATTGTAAAGTGCTTGCTCATATCACTGTACACCATCTCCATTGGCATTTCGTAATGTAGTTGGATAGTAGAGCTACAGAGTCAGTTATTATATTTCGGTGATTATTTTATTCCTATGATTTTTAACCAATCAGAACGTTCAATTGGGTTAAGCAACATTGTATAATTTTGAGTATACGTGGATATACATAGAGTAGTTCCACTAATCAGAAATTTAGAATCATTTCCATTTCCATAGTAACCAATTCATATTGTTATATACAAAGAAAGTGCGTCGTTAAATTTTGACGTTCGTTCAGAACTACTCAAAAAGTTTTCGCATCGAATACGATTCAAACTTCAAAATTTTCAAGGTTATACATCTCAAACTTAATGCACAATTACAAATTGTGTCAGTGTAACAGAATAATTCTCCCATTCCGCAGCCCGAATATTTTGAAGTACTTTAAGGATTACTACTGATTATTTTCTTGGTATTATTATTTTAAACCGATCAAAACGTTCAATTGAGCTACCTTGTATAATCTTTCTCGTTTGTTTTCAATTCAGGTAGTTTCGGCAGTAATTTTAATAATCTTTCCATTAGTAATTTTCAATTACATGGACAATTTCAGGTACAACAAACATATTTAATAAAAGTGATATAAAACAATCCTCCACGCAGTGTGGAGTTTTCTGGTGTTAGCCGGGGGGGGGGGGGTGTTTGTTCTGTGATTAGAGTCCTAGTCAATGAATATCATTTCCTGAAGCCATGCTCCCTAGAATGAGGAATCCCCGGGGTGAACCTAGTTGGGCTAGGGTCGAATACAAACAATGGCGTTGATGGAAGTTTGCTGGTTTACGATGGAAAATGAAAAATAAAAACCCTCTAGTGCTCAGTCTCCTTGGACTCACGCTCTCTGACCACATCCAGTGGCCACGCCCAGAATCGGCCTCCATATAGGCAGAGAGACGCGTTTGACTCCAGCGTGTTTGGTGTTGCGGTGGAGCCATGATATTCTCCTGAAATTTCAAGGACATCGCTTACGCGTGAGCTTACTTCCTGAGCTTTTGCGTTTTCTGGATGAGAATCGTTCGGGGGTTCATTAAAAACATCGGTCGACTCATATATCAATTCGTGCTTCTTATAAATTCCATGCTCAGCTCGGGTGGTAGTTATATTGCTGGTGAAAGTTCACTACCCTGAACATGGAATCTATAAAGTTTATTCGATATCTTTAAAATGGGTTCTTTGATTTTCGGGATATTATGACACTGCTCGTGAATATCTGCCACTCGAGAATATCGATTACCATTGGTAATGATACGGAGAACTTTGTTTTGCAGCACTTGTAACCTATCTATTTGGGTAGGTTGGGCACTACAAGACACCGGACAGGCATATGTCATTACAGGCCTGATTATTTGCTTATAGATCAGGTTGTTATCCAATGTTGGCGAGGAATTTCTCGACCTGATCGCTGCCTGGGTTTTCTGTATTAAATAGTTGAAGTTATTTTTGAATGACAAGCGTCTGTCTATCTTGGCTCCCAGGTATTTCACAACAGGAGAGTCCGTAACCTATGTGTCCTTAACTGCCAAAGATTGGCGCAAGACATTATTAGTATGCAATCTTCGACTCCTCCTATAAAGCACACACCTTACTCCATTGGCCATCAAGTGTAATGCGAGTTAATGTACAGAACAGATTCATAGTGGAATAATAATCCTCATAACACGTGCCTCTGTGAAAAATATTTTTGTCCAATAAAAAATATCCTATGCGGTCGATTTTTCATGGTCATATTATGAATTTCTAACACGAAAGTCTTCACATTGTGATGCAAATTTATTAATGAAATAATTCATCTCTTTCACACACAGGTCCTGTGAACCTTTGTAAATGAGGTACATTTCCGAATATGTATGTTACCAATTGTCAGTGGCAAAATATCTAGATTTTACTTCATTCAATAATAAATAAATAAATAAATTAATAAGAAAAAATAACCAGTACACTTATATTCTATGACAGCGAATTCTTATATGATAAACATTTTCATTATCACTACTTTCATTTGTTCCTCTACACGACAATTTTTTGTTTGCGAGAATAGATATAACTTTTTCATTGATCATCTTGTACTAGCTGATGAATAGTGAAACCGGGTTATGTTAGTTCTAGATTCAACGAGATGCCTTCGGAACAAACTGAAGCCCTTATAGGCATCAATAGTGAACATGAAGCATAAAGGAATTGCCATTTACAAGTTAGTATGAATCTTGCAGCGTTAACAGAAGAATTGCCATTTACAAGTTAGCATGAGTCTTTTCACGTACTTCATACTATTTACAAAATGAGGTGCTAAACATGTACGTGATGGTATATACTTTTTTATTTATTAAAATGTGATTATTTTTCCATTGTGGAGGTGGTCAAGTCTAGTCCCATATTCAACATCAATGTGTATTACAATAACAGCATTCCTCATTTGAGTATTTTATTTAACTGAATATTCGTTATAAAATGTTGACTTTGATTTGTATCTTTACGTTGATGTATGAGTTTGAAATTCTGTACATGTAGATGAAGAAAGGGCTGTATTTTTCCATTAACTGTAAGTATTTATTTTTTATCCCCTCATTTATGTTTGAGTGACGAATAGTCTATTTTATTATTTATCCAATAAATACATGTGTTATATATATATTTTTGGTAATTCAGTTCCTCTTCAAGAAATATTGTCGTTAAGTGTTCTAAACCAAAGTTTTATTCTTGTGATTGAAACATTTGACCTAAAAGTCTATATTGAGAGAATAAAAGAGTATTCGATTAAGTTTCAGGATTTCATTTACTTGTTCCTGAACAATTAGACTCAGATAATGAAAAGGAGATCATAAAATTCTCAGGGTAGGCATGAAATAGAAAAAATCGATGTCCAATATTAATTTTCGAATTATTGGAACATATTCATGTTTCCTTTTCGCCCTGAAATTTCTGTATTTGAACTTGTGAATTAGTTTTCTAAATAGTTTAAAAAAAAACAAAAGCGTTAAGCTTCCATCTCTTATTGGGTGCCAACTTTATACAGCCGCATATCCTCAAATTCTCATATGTCCATCTTTGTCTTGCTCATATTCCCGGTCACATCCGACTGTGTAGTGCTGTAGCAACGCCAGCCAAAGCGCTTGAAGCAAGGTTGCCAACTATGCGCTATGATCGTTTTGTTATTCAACTCATTTCAAAATACACGTTTTTAATCTTTGGAAGAAGTCCATGATTACTCAAAGTGGAGTCGAGTAGTTCATAGATGAAAAACCCAAAGTCATCCCCACATCTTTTCGGACTTATATAAGTTCTAGAAAAAACCGGTATTGACTTGGATGGATATAGATGCAATGCACGACAAAACGGCAAACGCCCATAAATAAAAATAATGCTGTCTGTGATCGTCTGCGACGCGTCGACTATATACCGCAGCCGCAAACCTAACAAACATAGGTATCTTTCTTATCCACTGAGTATTGTTTTGTTAGTTGCATAAGCGTTCTATTGATGGTCTATGGTTGATGGAGCGCGATGATTCGATGAAGCGGGGTTAATAGAGCTCATTTGAATTGAGAGGGCTGTGGCAGGAAAATAAAAGTCAATAAAAACATAAAATGAATGGAAAAATCCGTTTCGGTAAGTACAATTTCGAAGAAATAAGAAATTAAATTGAAAAAATATATCTGGAAACAATTCACAGAATTTTGCAATCAACGAAATCACTAACTGAAAGAAAATACATCCGATGAAAAACGGATATCCTCACGGAATGAGCATTCAATATGCGTTAATAAAAGTTTGCCAGAGTTATTAATTTATTCTTGTAATAATCTTATCAAATACAACTCGTTCAATCGAAGATGATCGGAAAATGCCTTTTCTTTCTCAAAAACAATGAAGGTACGACAATGTGTTGGTACGATATTAAGTTTATAGATTAAGAATATAATCATTCGAAATTAATGAATCAACAAATATTGAAATATTCCATTCATTTTTTCGGAATGATTATACTAAGAAGTTAACTCGAACAAACCTGTTTAACTTTTTTTTTCAAGTAATGAATACGTATTTAGGAATTGGCAATACAACACAAATATCAGTGTCATAGTTAGGATATTCGCGAACGTGATATTATCCCCTTTCAATTGCATTTTGTTTCAACTCGTTGTTGTGCCGAGGATTTGACTCAACACTCAACTGAAGGGATGCCGTAATCCTTATCAGGTTTTCAAAAAATTTGCGCAAATTACCACACAGGAAAGTGCATTTTTTTCAATCAATTCGCTGAGAGTAATGATTAGCTCATAAGCCGTTCAAAAAATACAATATTTTTACTTGTTTTTGTGACATGTCATTTCGTTAATAAATGCAGACGGGAATCTTGGACTGTGCTTGGACTATTAGAATATCATTTAAAACAAAAACATTGATTTTCACTTGGTATATTATTAGTGACATATTCAGAATGACAGTTATTGCCAATTTCTGATTTTTTTGTCAAACACAGAAACATGTTTTGTATGTTATTTTTTCAATAATGTTGATCTATTTGCCTACCACTTATATATGGTGTAGACCAATTCATATATGATGGAAGAGAAATCTAACCCCAGAGTTGAGTGTAAGGTTTAAAAAATTAATTCTAAACAAGTATTCTCAATACCATATGGACTCATTTCAGTGAATGACGACTATATAGATCTGAGGAAGCGGCCAGCACATCCTAAAACTAACAGGGTGGAAGGGTAAGTGAAATTAGAAAGTAAATACAGCGTCATTGAATTTTCTATTTTTAAGAAGCCAAGTTCACCGAAGAAATAAAACATTTTGTTCTTCAGATTTGCAAAGTGATAGACTCAGATATGAAAAGTAAGTAAGACAATATTTGTTTATCAACGCAGTGGCCAGAGATGATAAATTATACATTATACACGTTTGGCAAGAATGATTTTCCTTTAGAGAAACCGTGTAATGGGTAAGCGTCATTGCCGCTGGCACGTGTGGCACAGTGGAGTACCCACGACGGGGGGGGGGGGGGGGGTAAAAGGGATATATTTTATTTCCGCCATATACCCTGTCGTTGGTCGTTGTGTGAAGAGCGCATGCTCAAATTAACGATGATGATAGAGTGGCTTCAACATCAGTAGATGGAACTGATGGAAGTGATTTATATCGTTACAGCTGAATGAAAATTCCCCATCTATTTCATCCAATATCCAATAATCGTTTTAAATCTCAGGAACAAATCGATTCAGAAAGGTAGTGGTATTCGTTTACACGGTTCATTATTAGTTTCATATATAGGGTGTCCCGAAATTGCTGGAACACAGAGCTACCACGTGTAATAGAAGACAAAATAAATTGATTGAACCCAATTCATTTTTATTCCATAATGTACCATTTGACTATGAGAAGGGTTCAAAGTTTACATAGAAACATATTTCTGTTCGCTGTTCAGAAATGAGTGAAACAAATTGAATGAAATTTGACCAAAATGCATTTAGAGGATTACTGTCCTTCCGGTACCAAAAGAAACCCAAAAGAAATTGTAGAAGGTTTAGAATTGTTTAGCGAGAAGACTGATCAATTATCTCCATTTTGTAACTTGTGAAAATTTCGTATTCCTCAGTTACGAAGAAAAAAAAAAGTGTCCCCTAAATAATGCAATTTTGCGACACCCTGTGTATCTACTGATATCAATACCTGATATTCCTTAAATAAATAGTATCCAAAGCCGAAACCAAAATTTTACAAGAACATTTTTTGAATAAATATTTGGAAATCAAAATCCAAGGCGCTTAGATTTTATTCTAATATGATCAAAATAATTCTATATACCAATAATCGCAAAGAAGAATGTGTTTTCAAAAAAATCATATACACACCCCCTCTCCCCACCCAAGGTACACTCCTGGGTACGCCATTGGTGTGGCAAACGATAATCCCTGATGTGGTCGGGCCGAAAACTGGACTTGATCGAAGTAGGATTATCGCGATACGAAGCGTATGGCAACGTCGCCATAAGGACAGAACGCACACGGTTTCCCTATCGGAAATTTATCATTGCCAGACGTGTATATATTTGACAAGAATCTGCTAGCAGCTCTGCCCCCTGTCCTCTTTATCTAATAATTAACAATACTTATCTCCATTATATTTTCGTAGTGATCCTTATAGGATGATAAAAGGTGGTCTGAAAAAATTGGCAACGTCTTACAATGCTTCTGCTAATACATACAAAAAAGGACAGAATGTATCACCGCCCAGAAAAGCCCGAACAAGAGAAAACTCGATGCTTGATTCCAGATTTCGTAGGTAATAATTAATTCGGATATATTACTTTCTGAGGTATACCTCCACGAACTTAATAAGGAATTTCTTCCGTGCGCTCCACAAGATAAAAAAACCTAACATTATTATTACTGATAGCGGATAAAAGTGTAAAACTAATGTGATGAATATTAATTAGTTGGAAACTACCCCATTCTCCTCACTTTTATAAAATATGAATTGTAATTTTCTGAAACCAATTGTATACAGGGTATCCCAAAATTGCTGGTACACAGAGCTACCACGTGTAATACAAGTCAAAATAAGTTGATTGGACCCAATACCCAATTAATTTTTATAACAAACTGTACCGTTTGTCCGTGAGACGAGCTCAAAGTATACATAAAAAACAAATTTTCGTACACTGTTCAAAAATGAGTGAAACAAATTGGATGAAATATGACCAAAGTGTGTTTTAGAGGATTAACCTCCTTTCGGTAATCAAAGAAACATTGTAGAAGGGTGAAAACCACTGATAAATTATTATCTTCATTTTGTCACCCTTGTAAATATTGCGTATTCCGAGAACCCTTTCACCACCCCTAAGAATGTGCTGAAAAAAATGTCAGGGGGTGAGGGTGGTTTCAACCCTTCTACAATTTCTATCAGGTTTCTTCGAATACTTATTTTTTTTGTGATCTCTTTTGTAAAATTTGTATATCGCTACTTCAAAGTTGGGAACCAACTCCCCAGAAGTCGAAACTTGTGCGGGGTTAGGAAGGGCGGGACCTACAGCTTATAGTGGAATCCGAACCACTTCTTGGGCATCGAGGTGGCTTATCCTCTGAAATGCACTTTAGTCAAATTTCATCCAATTTGTTTGCCTCATTTTTGAACAGCGTACAAAAATGTGTTTTTTTTTATGTAAAATCTGAACATGTCTCACGGAAAACCTGTACATTTTTTTATATAAAAAAGTTGGGTCCAATCAACTTATTTTGAACTGTATTACACGTGTTAGCTCTGTTTCCCAGCAATTTTGGGACATCCTGTATATAAGTGACTATATTGAAATTCATTTTATAATAATTATAGGTATATAGATCCCGATGAGAAGAGTCTATTTTCTATGTCAGAGAGCTCGATCACAGACAAAAAAATAACTGCTGATTCTAGTCAACCTACTCTGAAAAGGTAATATTAGAAGTTACTAATCGAGCCTTCATCATACTGATATAATTTTCTGCTGTCCCTAGAAAATCCTTAGATTTAGAAAGGACCACCATAGAACCTGCTAAGAATAAATTTACAATGACAAAGAGTAGCGATGGGCGTACCAAACCAAAGAAAAGTAACATTCGCTCGCGGTCAAGGGACTACCATGAAAAGTATGAGTTATATATACAGGGTGGGGCAATAGTGATTTATGTGACGCACTTTTGCCCCACAATGTATAATAATGGATTTTGTGCAAGTCAGATTTATGTTTACGTCAACTTTTTTCGAAATCCAATATTCAAATTTGAATAAAATGAAAAGTATTCAACAATGAGTGAGTGTCATGACTGCCATGTGACCGTTTTGAATGCGGTATCTCTTTTCCACGTCGTTTCACACATAACATACCGGGTGATACCCGGAACCAATTTACCCCCCTGTATCTTTCGTTGCTATATAACGGAATATTTTCATGATGGATAATGAAACAATAATATGTGAGTAACTATAATTCGATGTCAAAGTTCTTATACACAATAATTTTTATGCACACGAACTGTTTTATACAATTCTAGAAACTCATTTTTTCTAAATGCTATCATAGAATTTTTTGAAGGAAAGTCCCATACCTATTGATATTCAAGACAGGAAAAAATTCCAATTTTCTGTTCCCTATTGATTTTAATAAAGACTATATTCCACTCTTGCTGCAATCAGAATCGATCATTTTCACGGATTCTCCTGTACTCCAGCAATATGTTTTGTTCACTCAAATTCATCAGACTTGCTCTACCAATACAGAAGCCAAATAATTGACCCACACCTGTCCAACCAACCTCGTTTTTCAGCGATGAAATTTTGGACGTTTATAACGTCTGGAGGCCAGAATGATGGATGCAATGTCCGCAACTCTCGCTAGGCGCTTGTTTAATGTCTCAATCGTGAGATATTCATATGAATACAACCGTCAACTCGTGATGCTATTTTTTCTGGAAATATTCGTCGATTGACAGCTTGCTGATTCAATTACGTTCATGACATAGATTCAAAATTTCTCACCTACGGCTCGAAAATTATTAGGCAACAAGCTATCGGAACAGTCGCGGAATATTTCCGGCAAAATAGTATCACTTGTGGTATTACATATGATAATCTCCATGCTATATATACCTAATTAAACTGTATTGAACCTTTCAACTTCATATTAGTTGATGGCTATGAGGATATTGAATTTTTCCATGTTCCAAGTAACCAGGGGAATACAAAAAGTAATATTTTATAAAATCTCAATTCTATAAGTAGATTTTAGATTGAAAGTATGATTGTGATATATCGTTATTGGAATGGTAATTTTATACTGAATCGTAATTTCCAGAAAAAAATTATAATTTGTATTATAAATGAAAAAAAATGGAAGCACTCCCGGTAAAACCGGATACTCATAGGAACAAATCGATCGATGTACCAAATTTGAAACATCCATACAAAATAGCAAAGAAGATACAGGGGGGTAAATTGGTTCCGGGTCACCCGCGTATTTTTGGTTTAATGATAATTTGTCACGTTGCTCTCAAGTCTCAATCATTGTTGAAGATCCAGTACAATTTTTATTAATCCAGATACAATTTTATTTATTTATTTATTTATTTATTAAGATGGTATTTGAATTTTATTTATTATACAATGATATGATGTATCCTTAAATAATGGTAAATAGTAAATCACACTGAATTAGTTAACGGATTTTTTTTTTAGGACTGATAATCATGCAGCAAGCACATCAACTTACCCTCTGAAAGAGCCTACGTGAGTACATTTATCTTTCCACGTATCTTCCTGATATCCAATTTTCTAGAAATAAAATTTTGAATCACTACCAGGCCCTAGACCCGAGACTATGCGAGAAATATTCAGTGTTGAAAATGCCATGGAAAAGAACATGGACTCTGCCAGTATTCTCTCCAAAATCTAATTCCATGTGCGACAGAACTGGGGGTGATTATTTTGATCGCCAAACTTACTTATACGATGATGGAACTGAAATTGATTCTACGTTCATCGAAGGAAAGCAACCGAACTTCTTTAGCAAAGGTACTTACCTCCGATCCAAATGGTCATAAACTATGGCAAACTGATTTGGACGAAGTGGAAGTTTACACAAAATTCTTAATTACACGACATAGACTTAAAAGTAGCATAAAGAACAAATAACACGTTGGGAAGGTTTATCAAAAATAACCTCTAATTCGAAAAATCAGGGGTATACAAACTCAACTGTGGATCTTGTCCTAAGGCATAGATTGTTTTTTTAATCTATGCCTAAGGTGTATATCGGTCGACAAGTCGTACGTTCAATCAGCGCATTCATAGACATAAGATGCATTTTTTTCAAAAAGAAAACAAATTCATCATACGCCAACCATATATTGACTCAACGATCAACTAGACCTCAATAGTTCACCACTGTTGAGATTGTTTCCTTAGTAGGTAATAATATGTATTTGATATCAACCCTTTCAAGTTAATCCGGTACACCGTATTTTAATGTAGATATTGTGCCGAAAATGAAGGTTTATCATGTAAAAAATTATTATTATAGTAAATCACATCATACACTTTAGATGACATTTTCAGCAATAAAGTTGTGTACTATAAATGAAATGGTCAGACTAGATAAGAAACCACTAAATCAGTCCTAGAATTACATTTGAGTCTTGAGTCATATAGATTGACGACTCTTTAAGTTAAAAACATCAAGATGAAGATGAAATATTTCTAGGTCATTTTCATTATGTTTTTGTGACAAAATATTTGCTGCTAATGAAGTACAATAAGGAACGTTATAGGTACTTATTATTTCATCAGAATTTTTTTTTTTTCAGCATTTCAGAACCAATTCATGGCTTTACTATTCATTGGCGGAAGCATATGTGGAATATTATTGGTTTCATTGCTGATATGGTTCATATTCGGCAACAACTTTTTCCACATTTTTTTCAAGCCCAGAGAAGCGCAAGATCGTAGTTTGAAGGATTACATAAAATTCATTGGTGGTGGAATTATTTACATCGTAACATCGCTTTTCAAAACGATTGGAAGAGTTCTGACAATACCGGTAAGATTTCCATATTTGTACAAAGTACAGGGTTATAAGGTTTAGAAGAAATCATATAAAAGATTAGCGCGATCGTGCACGTCAAATCATCTATAGTCATTTACTTTTATTAGGGTTTCTCTGAAGTTTCTATATGAATAACATGACGAATTACGTCAATTTATCAAATTTTACAGGCACTATTTCAAATGGGAGATCTTCAGTAAATCAGCCACACATTCTTGAAAAACTATCAATAGTTGGAAAAATCGATTTCACCAATATCTCCATGATTCCTGTGAACGTGAGCAAAGTCGAAAATATTAGTTGTACTTGAAGGTAGACTCGCCCGTTGCCCCAATCTTTTTTCTGTTTTTGTTTAAGACACAAGCCGAGCAACTAAAAAATTTCGCTGTTATCTGTAACAGCCGTAAAAAAATTTTAGTGTATAACTCGCACGGAATGCTTATTTCCCACTCGTACGATTTGCAGCATTCGCCTACGGCCTATGAGAAATATGTTTTTTACATGTATATGTTTTCCTCAGTTTCAGTCAACAAATCTTTACTCAATTGATTTTGTATAAGAATGACTATACAGACATTTATCATTTGGATAACCCTGTATGAGAGATCCTCGAATTTACTGTCTGTATAGGTTACTGGAGGAGGTGGCACATTCATTTTACTAGATTACGCGGATTTTCTCGTTTCTATAAAATAAAAATATGAGTATTATATCATAAAATATATTTCTTTTCTTCAAACATTTTTCAAAACAAGGTGTCACTGACAAACGATCGGATTTTTCCTTATTCAGGCTCTCTGATAGAAACATTTTTAAAAGCAGTGATATTTTGGGGCAAATCATCTGATAAATATTATTTTATTTTATAGAAGCAAGGAGAAAATAATGAAAATATATGGAACCTACCTTACAATAATTATTGGAGAGTTATGAGTTATGTAGTTAATGACAAATTGAATCAACTATTATTGTTCACTTTCCAACATAAGAAACATATTATTCCAGAGATATTATAAATGGACACAGGAAATAATTACATTTCTCATAGATATGATCCATGAAAATGTCAAATCCATTTTATAACATTTTATACTCCAATAGAGAGTGAAATACTTCAGATGCTGAAGTGTCATTCCTTGATATGATAAAAAACGGATATCAAAGTTGGAATATTATTGAACCAAAAAAGTACTTGAAGGATATCTGATTTGAAAAGTGAATGGTTTGGTCACCTCCACCATCCACTTGAACCAGAAGCATACCTACATATCCTATTGACCAAATGAGTTCTTTGGAACTTTAAATATAGCAGGCATATTGAAGGACCACCCTGTAAGACATTTTTTGTTTCAGACCCAACAAGTATACCAATCACAACCTGAGCACTACAGATGGCAGGCAAATGGTCAATTACAATAAACTAGTGGGTAGTTGTCTCTATTACTTTTATTTTAAAGAATACAAATCAAATAAACTCAATGTGAAAGATGGTTTTTATTTCATATCAATACATAAAAATTAGGTACGTCTATTGAATGTGTTTGTAGTAGGTTGGGTTAACTGAAGGCCACTAATGTTGTTGAATTCCAACATCTTCAACATTTCCTTAGTTTCTGGGTCCACCTCAATAATGTCATGTTCCAGAGCAGACACTTCAGGAACATAGTTGTCTCTTCTCTCACGCTCTTCTTCTTGCAACTTGATAGAAATACCACGCACCTACAAAACATTTGGGGTGTGATTTTAAGAACAACACAAGTAGGGAGCATTATATAGGGTGATTCAACATATGTAAATATATAAATAAGACTTTTTCTTTATATAAACATGTCTTGAAATTCACCCCCTTCAAGCTACAGCCACTGTAAGTTAGGTAAGGAAAAAATATATTCTGAAATAACAGATCAAATCTTCTGAAAATTGGCAGGCCCCTGTCCTTTTAGACACTTTCTTTCATTCTTCAAAAATTATGTAATCCCAGTTCTGGGGGGGTTGGAGGGCAGTCCTCACTTTTATTGGCCAAAATTGGATGCATTTTAGGACACATGTTTATACAGTGTGACCCATTTAAAATGGAACCACCCCTGTATCTTATGTAATCGTTGGGTAAGAATCCTGAAATTTGCTGGAGCGAGAGATATACAAAAAATGCACTCTATGACCAAGTGGGGTCTTCTTCCCCAATTTCCGGAAAACGATATTAGGAGTCAAAATAGGTTGAAAATCACGTCGGATTCGGAATCAGGACGCCCAAGTTACTAACTCACTTCTCATGGAAGCACCCCCGTATCTCACGTAATTATTGAGGTAGGGTTCTGAAATTTGCCGGAGGAAGAGAAAGTCCAAAGATAAAGTCAATTACGTGAGATACGGGGGTGCTTCCATAAAAAATGCGACAAAATTTCATTTTTCCGAACTGAAAATTTTCCAGAAAAAATTTGAATAGTTAGTAAATTGGGCGTCCTGATTCCAAATCTGAAGTGATTTTCGACCTATTTTGACTCCTAATATCATTTTCCGGAAATTGGGGTAGTTTCATGGCTGTTGGTGAGCAGTGTATATCACTGAAGATGACTCCACTTGGTCATAGAGTGCATTTTTGGTATATCTCTGGCTTCAGCAAATTTCAGGATCCTTACCCAACAATTAAGTAAGATACAGGGGTGGTTCCATTTTAAATGGGTCACACTGTATGAAGAATAAGTCTTATTTTGATCCCAAGGATTTCCAAACATTACCCACTTTTGACAATTACAGAAGCTCAGTGATGAGGCATTATTAAAATTTAGTAGCACTATTTGGATTTAGATTTTTGCAAAAACTTGAGAAGTCTCCATCCTCATGAAATTTGTTCTATTTAAATTCAAATTCAAAGAAGCTACTTACTCTATGAAGATTGTTTATGAATGCAATAGGGGTATTTGGGTTTGGGGTATTCCTATTTCTCATCATAATTCATTATAATGTGATCTATATGTATACAATGTGATATATATTGTGATAATAATAATAATAATTGTAGTGAATATGAAATGTCAATGCCTAAATATATAATGGGATATAAACAGTACAATGCATATTCACTATTTTGCAGTTAAATTAGAGAACTTACATATTCCATAATCAAACTTGTGCCTGATAATAACTGAATATAAATGCCAGATTGGTTTTCAAATGAAGGTACATTTTAACAAGATTCTTCTAGTCAAGGTCAGCCTTCAAATTTGAAAAAACTTCTATAAAGCTTCCATATAAGAAGCCAGATAACATGGGATAACAGTTCCTTTTCTTTACAGTATTAGTCCATATAACTTTTTGGACTAGTAGATATTGAAAATAACTGGAGAAAATCATTATTTTGGAGAGGAGCACTACTCTTTGGATAAAAATTGAATCATGATAGAAAATAAAAATATAAGATTCTCAGAGATAATCACAATTATTATGATAGTGGAAAGAATGCAGACTAGTACTATAAATGGAATATACTTAAAAAAATGTATCCTGAATATTATTCCTGAAATGATATCATGACAGAACAAAGTTAATGGGCCAAAATCATATTGGAGATTGGAGTAACACCAAGTGAAAATGTAGTCACTTTGTAGTTCTTGATAAGGAACATATCTTATGGACTCAAAATCCATTCCCATCAGATCTCCAACCAGCAGACTAGTATATTTCAATTTGTATATTTGTGAATATTTGTCACAAAAACACTTATTGATACAAGGCTCAGTAATTTTGCACTTATCAAGCAATGGTATGCTTACTCACTAAATACAAAAAACTTGCCATAAAAATCATATTTCTTGTTGAATTCTCCATCTTACAATGTGTCATTGAAGTACATCATGAGTATATAGTGTCCAATGACAAAATAAAAAGAGCAAGTACTTGTAAATGCATCCAACACAAGGGGGAAAGGAAGGCAAAATTTCGAACTTTTTCTTGAAATATCTCAATAAATAGTGGTTTGTTCACATTTTCATTATCAAATTTTTTCCCAGTACTATGGAGTGTGCTTACTTGTGAGTGACGAAGACGCTTCATCAAATGTGTAACAAACCCAGCGATTTTGTTGCGTAGAGGTTTGGTGGGAATGATAGCGATTTCTTCGCAGATACGTTTGTTGGTGTGGAAATCCAGGGTAAGCCTTGTGTAGTACTTTTCAATGATGACTTTGGAAGCCTTCTTCACAGTCTTCGTACGTACACGACCCATGTTTGCTGCAATACCCGAATAGATACAACTTCGTTTGATTCAAATCATTCTTATAACATATACAACATGGAAATTGTCAGAATTTTTCAATATTTTTTGATTTATATACGAGGAAAACTCACCAATCCAAAAATTAAGATCACGAAGAAACGTGGTTCACAAAAGCAAACTTGAGAAAGAACGTCAAACGTCAAACTTCAAACTAGTGTTGCCAATGAGGTAGTCCGAAATTCTTCAGTGTTGCCAACATCCAATCTCATCAGCGGCTACTTACGCTTACGATTCTTAAAATCAACGCTAAGCGCACAGAAAATGAATTCTGTGATCTGGTCACTCTTTGTCCTAGTAGGGTCCTTTTGTCCTAGATTTTACGCTAACACGAATTTAATCCTCCCCTCATTGAGGCGTCTAGAGGCAGGACTCAAAGAGACAGGGCGCAACAAATAATCCGGAGCGACTAAGAACTGTCGGCCCCAACAGTAAAATGCCTTCACGTATTTTTTTCGATCACTTCGAAAAAGAAGACGAAAGATTATACCACCACAAGGATTATTCGTTGAAAGATTTGTTGTATAACATCCAATTGCACGATGCCTCATTTTAGGTCAGATTGAGTTCGTGTCGAACGCTAACGTACGCCGAGATCGGGTTAGGGTGACAATTCGTGACAGTGTCGGCCCACAACCAGATTCAACTTTATATTAAAAATATTCGATTGAAAAAATAAAACAAGTTAATCTTACTTATTCTCGTTGGGTCATTTAAGGTAAAGCGGATTACATTGGTTAAACCAGTGTGCAGTGAGTGTATAAGTAAAAGACAAACATATATATACTGACAGAGAGCAGGGTTACCGCGAGCGAGAAACACATATCGACGAAAATGTCTCCGATTTTCTATCTATGGCACACACCACTGAACTATACCCTTGACGTATGATGGCTAGATGGTTTCATATCTTCCGCAAATTCTCCGTCGAATGCCATTCTCCGCAAATTTCTCTGCACACCTGAAACTTTTCCGAAAAGCGGACAATTCTCCGCCAATCGGCAACACTGCTTCAAACAGTCAAACCTCAAGAAAGTGCTTGTCTTGCCAACCCAACTACTCGTTAGTGTTAGTAATAGAACATTAGTAGGGCCAACAATTCATTTGACATACTTCAAATGCAACGTCAAACGGTCCGAATGTCTCAAACAAATGTCTCTCGCCAGTCATTCAATAAGCGAAAAATCTTATCATGAGGAAGAAAAATATCGTTTCCGCATGATAAGGGACTACTTTTGACTAGGGTCCCTTGATGAAAATTGACGTTAAACTTTTGACCAAACTCGGCCTGGATAAACCATTTTCTTAAAAAGTATATTTTTCGAAAGAAAAAGTACTCATTAGTGAAAACTCAACGTTATGAGTATGAGTATGAAAATATCGTTTCGCATGAAAAAGGCGACTTTGTTCAACCGAACTGGTCCTGAATAATCCTTTTTCTGAACAGTATATTTTTCAAAATATTGTGAAAAAAATGAAAAACTGACGCCTCGCATGGATTTGAACGCGTGTCACAGTCGTGGAAGTCATATACACAGACCACTGAGCTATCGATCATCAAGAAAGAACAAATATCGTGTGTTGGCTTGTTTATTGAAACTAGCAGCACAGCAGCATACTACTAATTGAATTACTTGCGAGAGAAATCTATCAGGGTAGGGCCGCATGATAATGATGGCTTCTGGCGGTGAAAGGATAACGAAAAACGAAGTGAAAACTTTTACTCGGAGTCATCTCCACCAAAATCCAGGCTTCGATAATCTTGACTAAATTGCATATTTTGGTTAGGGTCCCTTGATGGAAATTGACGTTAAAGTCATCTTAACAGGGTACGGACAGATTATAGCTGCATTCTTTTTTAATGATCTAGAGACTTTAGTTTTGTCTACTGGCATCCCTGACATTGCTATCACGTCACATCCATGGGCGCTACAGAAAATCATTCAAAATTGTAATAATAGGTATGTACAGGGTATTTACTTGTTGAGGAATATTGTATGGCGAACGAGTTTTGTAATTATGATTCGATTTTATTCAAAATTTTAAGGTATCTGGGCTTTTCCGGGGTTGGAGATAATGATTGTTTCGTCAAACTTGGAAAATTCAAGATGACGGATACAATATACATAGCGAGAGAAATTTCTTATTATTATCTGATTCTATTTAGGATTGGTATCTGGATTTCCGGGTCGAACTTTATGATTTTTTGTCGAAATTGGGAGATTCAAGATAACAAATCCAATATGGCGAACGAATTTTGTAATTATGATACGATTCTATACAAAAATCAGAATTGGTATCTGGGGATTTCCGGGGTCGGAGATTAAAATTATTTCGTCATAATTGGGGTATTCAAGATGGCGGATCCAATATGGTGGACGATTTTTGTAATGAAGATCCGGTTCTATTCAAAATTGGTATCTGGGGATTTTCTTTCAAGATGACGAATCCAATATGGCGAAAGACATTAGTTTATACAGGGTGTTTCATGAGCAGACTCACATAGCCGAATGGTTGATAGGGGAAATCAAGACGAGTTGATGTATATATATGAAAACATTTTTTGACCCTCCATAACGAAGATACAGGGTATTATGTGAAGTTGCTATACAACTTTGATGGTCGATATTACAAAAATGATTCGTCGTAATCTGCTGAAATTTGGCAGCAGCGTACCTCTACTGAAACTATTCAAGATGCCATATTATGAAAACAAAAATATCCAGGTCCGGACTTGGGAAAATTTTATGATTTATTGTAATGTCAAAAAGGTTCACTTTGTGACCACTTTTCTCGAAAAATTTCATCAGATTCAGAAAGATCAGACGAAATTCTATGAGAACTGCTCTTCAATTTACATGGCACACTTTGTCCGGTTCAATAAAATAATATGGAACAAAATCGTTCGGATGAATTTTAAATTTCGACCAGGCTGATAACTGTCAACTTTCAACTGGTATCATGTGAATTGATTCTTCATACATTTTTGTTGAATAGTAATTGACAGAAGAATAGACGAGAAGAAAAAACACGATATTTTTTTATCGAAATTCCAGATAGATATTATTATTCCTGACTTTGTTTTATGGGTGTCGCTTGAAGTGAGATATCGAGTAGGTCCGGTTTTGCATTTGTGTGACGAGACGTGACGTTTGTTGATAATCCGAACTGATAGGTAGGTACTAGGCTAGTACTAGGTAGGTACCAACTGATAAAATTACGACATCAGGATTCATGTGCCCATAATATATTGATTTATCAAATTAGTTATGCCATCACGCATAAACTTAGCTCCATTTTTTGTTATTGTTACACTTCTGCAAGTGATATAAGGATATGCATTTGCTATTTATTCAAAATTCCTAATGTTCATCATCGTGAAGGTTTTACTGCCACGTATTCTTGGGCCTGGGAATATTTTATGGTATTAAACATTTTCGTCTTGTTCAGCATTTGGAATATGAAGTGGCACCTAGAGTGTAAGAATATTTCGATTACCAGTGTTTACCTATCAACAAACGTCATGTTACATAAAATAAAAACAGGGCCCACCTTATAATAAATTTATAAAATAGAGTCACGAGTAATCATATCTATCTAGAAGTTAGGTCAAAAACTAATATGTCAAATCATAAAAGAATCAGTACTAATCTCTTCTGTCAATTTCTATACAATGAAAATGTACAAAAAATCAATTTACACGAATCCAGTTAAAAGTTGAGAGTTATCAGCCAGGTCGAAATTGAAAATTCATTCGAACGTTTTTGTTCCATATTTTTTTGTTGAACCGGTCAAAGTGTGCCGTGTAAATTGGAGAGCAGTTCTTATAGCATTTTGTCTGATCTTTCTGAATCTGATAGAATTTTTTGAGAAAAGTGGTCACAAAATGAACTTTTTTGACATAACAATGAAATATAAAATTTTACCAAGTCCGGACCTGGATATTTTTTTATAATATGTTATCTTGAATAGTTTCAGTCTCAGATCAGGTCTTTTGTTGATCTGAGGTTTCAGTAGAGGTACGTCGCTGCCAAATTTCAGCAGATTACGACGAATCATTTCTGTAATATCGACCATCAAAGTTATATAGCAATTTCACATAATACCCTGTATCTTCGTTATGGAGGGTCAAAAAATGTTTTCATATATATACATCAACTCGTCTTGATTTCCCCTATTAACCATTTGGCTATGTGAGTCTTCTCATGAAACACCCTGTATAATCATTACTCTGCCACAAAAAAAAATTATGTAGGATGCAAGAGTGAAAATAACGTGCCTATGAGTTAAACTGCATCTCTTTGTTACTTTCATCGATAAATTATTCGAAAATGACTTTTTATTCAAGGGAGACAGAAAAATCATATGTATAACATGGGGGTAAAGTAAATTCTATTCTTTATTTTCCTGCACATCGTACGTATTACTTGTTATCAGCCTACTCTACGTCCTAGACGAAGTTTCATACATAGTGTGATATTAGTCACTCCATAAATTCTTCTCCGAGTTGGATTTCCGAGAATATATTTAGCACTCATGACATGAGTACAGTAGTTTAGATACCCACATCATCGAGGTTTCCACTATTTCTCAATCATAAGGCTCAGCTCATTCAGCTCATAGATAAGCTACTGCTCAGATTGAAATCAGAATTCATTCAGTTGATTCAGTCAACCCTGGTATACAGTCTAAGAACAGTCTCTTTTGTTGAAATATATTAAGCTTTCAATACAATTTATATGTTTCCTATCCCGCAAAGATTATGCTGGAGTAGTAAACTCTAAAACTAGAGGATTGTTCATCTATATCTTGGTATAGTTGAATCAGGAATTCCATATGGAAATTACGTATGATACGCCAGTGACCTCAATATAACCTAAAAAACAACGAATGTCAAAAATCTAGTGTTTATCCCCAGAATTGAATAAGGATGGAACTATATAACTGTTTCACAAACACTTTAGAGTGAGAGGAGACGAGGATCTGTCCGTACCCTGTTAAGATGACTTCAACGTCAATCTCCATCAAGGGACCCTAATTTTGGTCAACGTTGATATTTAAGGTGTACATGAAATTACGCAAGACGCAAGTTAACGTACATCCGTGAGCTCACTACCTACGCGAACGTGGGAACACGAAAAATGCACATGCATAGCTGTCAATTTCTACGTTAACGTCAATGTTCCAGTAGCACTCCACTTTGGGTATTCGTACCCCTTCGTTATTCGTG